TAAAAAGATAAAGGAAAACAATATAAAAATACCTTTTTTTCTAATGTTGGTCAACCTTAAACACCTGAATAGAAATTGTGGTGCACATTAACAAATAATACTGAAATAAGAGTTTGATTCTTAAAATAATCACTTGCTCCGCAATGTATTTGTACATATGCATTTTTATGTGCATGCTTTTTGTATATAGAATGTACACATAATATTGATGAAAAGAACTGCAGTTGCAAACTTCATTTCTTCAGTAAACTACCTACCTCTTTTTTTGCAGGTTAATCTTAATTGGGCTATTATTTGCTGCACAGAAATAAATGTTATCATAATGAGTTTTCTCATTCAGAGTAACCCAGGCAGGAGTCTTTTTTCCATCTCCCCCACAAAAAAAGCTATGTGTATCAGCATGTCAACACCTACTATTTTTGCCAATGCACTATTAATAGAGTGATTTGAAAGTGTGCTGTGGATGGCTACAAAATGATTGATAGCACATCAAACTAGGGTAGGTTCTGAGCCAAGCCGTTCACAAGCATGTGATTGGTGTCACTAATGGTGGGAGAAAAATTCCATCGTGTGAAATTCAAGTTTGTGTGCAGAAGACTTTAACATTGAACTGCAAAAAGACAAAATGCACAATGAGATCATAATACTGTAGAGATGACTCAGTGGTCAGGATAATAATACAAGTGATATCAAAGTGAATACACCTTGGAGGCTAACTGCATTCTGACCAAATGTGCTGCTGTATCTCCTTTAAAGAGAAGGCAGCCAAAAGCAGCTATTAGCTTTGCTTCTCCAAGTAATAAAACCGCTTCACATATATATGTATATATTCCTGAATTTGTGGCTCAGTTATTGGTATCACTACTAATATCCAGACATATAGACAGATTGTACTTTAGAAATGTTAGTGTATTAGCTCACATAATTACATTTTCCCCCCATACCTTTCTTCCAAAAGAGTTTGAAGTCACACACAGAATTCTTCCTTTCTCTCACACACACATATACAAACACACATTATGTTCACAATAATCCAGTTAGGAAGGTGCAATAATGAGCAAGTTCCTAGGCAAAGAACCCCTAGCTGAATAGATTAAATGTGGGTATCTTTCCTGAAATTTAGCACTTATAAATAAATGAAATAAACATTTTTTCCATTCTTAGTTATCTCCACGAGAGCAATATAACCTTAAGTCTATTAGGTTGTTAAATGTAGACTTGTTCTTAAGTTAACTTGAACGTGTTATTTCTCTGAAATCTCTGTAGGTAATGATCTTAACAGATGTTTGTCACAAAATTGGTTATAAGACCAATCTGAACCTTCTTTTTAGACTTGTTTTTCTTGTACTGTGTAGTGCGGGAGAAACTACATTTAGAACTCAAGTAGATGACCTATGACCAATTGGGTCATCCTTTCAGGGATATTTCCTTCTTATAACCAATTGCTTTAATTGGAAGGGAAGGATTGGCAGTTAAAATCGTTAGATGAATTAAGGCAAGATAATATTGTTTACTCTTGGTTTCAGTATAGACAATTGTTAGATAGATGGAGTTTAGACCAAAAAGTTGGTATTACTTTAGAACAGTGGTTCTCAACCTTTCTAATGCCACGACCCCATAATACAGTTCCCCATGTTGTGGTGACCCTCAACCACTTATACATCACCGGGTGCCAGGGGCGTGGCCAAAGAAAAGGGGGGAAAAATGGCGGACAGCCTTGTTTGACGACCCCCATGAAATGGTCGTTCGACCCCAAATGGGGTCCCGACCCACAGGTTGAGAACCACTGCTTTAGAAGATGACAATTTGATAAAATAAATTAGAGATCAAAGTTGAGCTCATATAAAAACAGTTTATAATGTATTAGTGGAATTGGATTCAGAGACGGAATTAGTCAAAGATTGTATGATAAAATGGGCCCAAAATTTTCAAGAGCCGATTTTACTAGATACATGGGAGGCAATTTGGGTTGGGAATGTGAAGTTTACTCAGGCTCAAAATTTACGAGAAAATTTTTATAAAATGTTTTATAGGTGGCATTTGGATCCACAAAAATTGTCTCGTATGTATCCTAACTTACAGCCTAAGTGTTGGAGATGTGGTTGCTTAGATGCAACCTATTATCATATTTGGTGGACGTGTAGAAATATAAAAGCTTTTTGGATTAAGATTTGGTGGAACATTCAGAAGATTTTTAATAGAAAGATAAAGTTTATACCACAATTGTTTTTGTTAGGTATTGTTGAAGATTGTGATGTTAAAGAAACTATTTTAATGTTGAATCTTATTATGGCGGCAAGATTATTGGTTGGGCAATATTGGTGGAAAGATTCTTTGCCTACCATAGAAGAATGGTTGTTTAAAGTTGCTAATTTAGCAGAAATGGCCAAAATTTCTGCCTATTTGAAGGATCATTCACAAGAAAGATACATCTCGGTGTGGAAAAGATGGATAAATTTTGTACAGAATAAATATGGGATTAGAAAGTATCATTTAGTTTTTGATTAACTTATAGTTTAAATTGGGATTTGTTTGTATTTGAGTTAAAGTATTTTAGGGATTTGGTTATTGGTATAGTTGGATAAGCTTAGTTAGAATTTGTTTACTTATTTTTAACCCTGTAATCAGCTCTGGGAAGTGAGGGGGGGAGGGTTGGGGTGGAGGGAGGGAGGGTTATTGTATTGTAATACTAAATTTGTATAAAACTTTTCAATAAAAAAAGAAGGTTCAGATTTATACAGCTGGATTGTCAAGTTCAGTAGCAATCTTTCCCCCTTCACAGATCCTTTCCCCACTGCTGAGTTGAAGTACTAGCCATTCATCCTTAAGCAGACATTAAAAGCTGCCCGCATAACATTATCTGTTCCTATTGCCAGTTCCCATCTGCTGCTGCTGCTTCAAATCATTTCAGTCACCCGACCTCTCTCCAAAATAAAGGTGACCAAGCCTAACAAATCTGCCCTTGGAGAGCACTGGAAGAAGAAGGAAAATATTAATCTGGAACATCTAAGGACAAGCGAAGGCCATCTCATTTATGGGCTGAGAATAAGATGAAGGCCTTGTTATGAGGACATAACAGAAAAAAAAAACTGCCAAGGGCATTTTTGTGCTGTAGTTAATGCAAGTGGGGGAAGATTTTTAGTCTCTGTGACATGGCAATTTATTCATTTAGTAATTCTTATACTATAATTTTAGCCAACAACTTAATTCTTTTTAGCTCTTCCTTTATTTTGTGTCTCCTCAACTGAAACACTTTCAGTATGATTATGATAAGAACCCGACTTCACCAGACAGGGCAGTTCCCAACATTTGGACATGCAGCTAGAATAATTTGCTACAACAAAAGCAATAAAGAGACTCTTAGGCACCTCAAAGGTTAAATGACTTGTGAAATAGAAGTTACTTTATCTAAATATGTCGCAATAAGTCTGCTGATCCCCTCCAGCCCTTTTAAAGAGCAGGTTATAAGCAAATGTTTGGGGCATGATTTGTTCGCATGATCATTAATATTTTGAAGTACAGCATGTCTCATTTTGTGGGAGAAGGTGATGGGGAGAACTAAGAGAGATTTACAATTTACCACTGCACAATGCAAATAAAGTCGAAGATTTGCAAAGCTGTGAAACCTGTTGGACCATGGAGTGGAGGTGAGGACCATAAGGCTCATGTAACAGAAAGATCACCATACAGAAAGAAAAATGCATTTGGCAATGCTTGATCTTTGAAGAATTCCACAACACAAAACACCCCTGGATTATTAAGTACAGGAAAAACTGAAACAAAATTTCAAGCATGGGTATGGAGGTATATTACGTGGATGACATGTAAACAGAAGTTCACGAGTACCACTGGGAATTCTTCCCTCCCTCTGCCTCCCAGATTCAAAGCAGCATCTTTGTTACTTCAGATTCTATTCATGAAGGTCTCTCACCTCTACCAATTGCTGCAGTAGCATATACCAAGCTGTTATTCACTATCCTAGCTTACAGAATCTGTTAAGTGCAGAAAGATCTCTGGGAAGCTTGTTGCTTCTATTCTTGCTAATGGTCATTTTTGTTATTTTTACAATCAACCGAACAAAAGCATGCAACTTGAACAGAAAGCATGATGGGACAGGTATATTAGCAATTTCTTCTCTTTCCATTTTGTATGGAGTTTGGGTTTGGGGGGGTTGGGTTTTTTTTTTAATTGTTGTTACTTTGGAAGTCATTCTGTCGAAGTATCAATAGTAAAACATTTTTTGAAGGCACACACTGATGCAAGACACAGTACTGACTAGCCTGGGGCGTTTTCTGCTTCTTCTGTGTTTTGAAATCAACGGAAGTGCAGATGGCCAAAGGTCAGCTCTGAGCTCCTTTGGATAGACTTAGGAGTCAAGAAGGCAAGAGTGTAAACATGTCCTTAAAAATGCCTCGAGAGAGGTTTTTAAACAAATATAGCATCTCCATATTTTAGTGATATGATGTAAGATTATAATGTAGGGTTATATAATTCTATTTCTTAGTATCTTATCTGATATGTTCAAAAGATATAGATGAAAGCAGAATTAATTCATTGTTGGAACTAAAGCTTTGGCTTCCTTTTAAAATATTGTTACAGTAGTCTTACCTAACCTAGTGTCCTACAATAGCTTATATAAATTTTAACATCACCATCTAGTAGCACAGTGAAAGGTACCAGGTTATGTTACAGATTCTTTTAAAAGTATCTGCTTATCCAAAGGTTTTGGAAAGAGAAGCCACTCAACAGTGCTTCTCACACATTTTTATAGGTACACACAGTACACATTTGCATAGTGTCCCTCAGCATTAGTATAAATACCTTTGTTTATGTTTAATTTGACGGGGTTGCCATCTTTAAACTAAAACTGTATTCTGGTCTGTGACCATAATTAAAGATTGATTGATTAAAATAAAACTGTAAAAAACTTGCTTATGTTTCAATTGAATGCCATTCTTCTTATGTAAAAAGAGAAAGATCTAAAATAAAGCATACTTTACCATAAACTTTTTAAAACAAGGGACTACTTCAAAATGGACAAAACTCCATCTCATTTGGCACAGACGTCTGGAGAAAAAGGAAAAAAACAATGATAGTGTTTAAGAATGGGAAGGAAATGCAGGATATGTAACCACACAATTCTTATGCAAAACAAGCGCAACGTTTACTGTGAATTCGTGTATGGTGGCAGCCAAACATTAGGTAACCTAACGTGATTTCTGAGCGTCATTACGAATATCACTTCCACGGGTCTATGTTTTTGGTTTTTTTAACAAGGCGATTCTTTGGAAATCTGAACGCGAACTGAGCAGCTTTTTTAGATCCTCACTAACTCAAGAGGCGAGGGGGCAGATACAGAAAAAGTTCTTTATTTCATCGGACTCTAAAGCGAACCCATGAGAGGGGTGCCCCCTATTTTCGGTTCTTCGTCCCGCCTCCCTCAGCAGATCCCTCGGACGAATTGACTACAGGGATCTATTTTGCGTTAGAGACTTACCTCTACCACTGCGTCGCAAGCCCAGCCCTTCTTTCCACCACGGGGCTCAACACTCACGTGGAGCCTCGAAACTCCCCCCACCAAGGCACAAAAAGGCCCGCCTTTCAGCCGTTGGCCGCCTCTTATTGGCTGCTGCGAGCGGTTACCATTCCGGCGGCGGGCGGGCTCCTTTGTGACGCCACAATCAGCTGTTTGAACGTTCCAATTCCTGAGCCAAGATCAACTGGGGATTCAGCAATAACCGAAAAATAATAATACGAAAACTACATTTGGGGAGGGAGAGCGTCCTGATGTAAGGGCATCTGCATGCATTTTGCAGTATTGCATATCTTCTGGGAAGATCAGAGACACAATTGACATTACCACCGCAACCATCTCCTTTTCTTGCATATGTTTTTTTGGTGGGGTGTCTTTTAAAAAACAGCCCTCAGTTCTATTATGAGCCTTAGTTGTTGATTTCAATTAAAACTACCTCACAGACTTCGCCTAAAGCTCGTGCTTTTAAAAAAAACTTGTAGGGTTTGATTTACAAAACAGTTGATGACATTAAAAGGCAAGTGAAGGTAAGTGATGCTCTCCCCTCTCTCGGACAGTTTATTTTTAAACTTGAGTATCCTCTCTTTGTGGGAAAGAAACCACCTGCGGTAGATATTGTATGCTGTAGAGTGTAGATATTGCTCGTGTCTTTGTTTCTTTGTTTTCTATTTCTTTGATTCAGTACTGTACTGCATATTTTCTTTTTTGCAGTAGCGTATGGCATTCAGTTTTGATGCCGGTTTTCTTTCTGAAGGGAGATTTTTAATTCTCCTTTATATTTGGCAGTACATCTGTGAGCCTTGGTGCTTCGTTGATTTCTTGGTATATTGTTATGGACGCGTTGTGTTTTCATCTTCTGGTTAGCAGGCAGAGACCAAAGCAGCCTTATTTGGCGGTAGCAGAATAGACCAAGATCTTTGTTTTGAGTTGAGAAACCAGACTCGCTTGGTATGGCGCGAGGGGGGGGGGCGATTGGTGGTATCTTGTTTACTTTAAACCACTTGCAGATGAAAACTGCTGTGTGCGTGCGTATATCATATTAGTGTAAGATTTATGAGACGAGGACATCCCAGGTTTAAAAACAGGTGCGCTGTAAAAAAAAAAGAAACCCCACTTCATAACTATTCGTAATGAATATTGTTAGTTCATTCGGGAAAGGAATCGGTATTAAACAAAAGACTGTCGGGAAAAAAATGTCAGAAGGCGCCCGCGAGGAGCTCAGGATTTGAGCCGTTGATTTGGCTTCCTCAACCGACGGTGCAAAAAGAGCCTTTTGTCTTGACTTTCTTTGGGAACCGTCAGGAAGAGACGCAGCCGACCCGCAGAAAGGACTAAAATTCAGGGAGAGACGAAGGAAAAATGTAGGGAGGAGGAAGGGAAGACGAAAACATCCTTTGCCTTGTGGGTGCGGAGGTTCGCTTCTCCTTCTCACTGAGGCCATAGCAGCTGCTTACGGGTTGGAAAAGGTTCCTCCTAATTAGCTGCAGATCACAGCGGGGACTTCAGTTGTAGCCTTGAGCGCCAGGTTACCGTAGCTCTGCCAGGGAGGGATTACGCACCGCAATCCGGCCGGCTCGCTCTGGCTGTGTGGGGTTGTGGGGTGGGTGGGTTCCTACAGTTGATGCCCAGCTAGATGTAGCGCGACTGTTGGCCCGGTTGCTCGGTCTCTTCCTTCCGTTTGTTTTGCTTCGCTGGCGATTTCACCCTTTGTGGAGCTAGGCGAAGGGGACTGATCTGGGTTTAGAAGTACAGTATAAACCTGGTTCAGGCGTGTCCTTGAATAGATTCGGGTGAGGCGGAGAGCTGGAAAGAAAGGAATCTGGAACTCCTTCTTTATCTGAACATTGTTATCCCTGGCAAGTAACGTTGGGTAAGACCAGGCAGGGCCTTGCGTTTTCTTAAAGGACTTAACTGTTGAGTGACATCAGCTTCTGAATTAAAGCCCACTATGTCAGATACAATGAAGTAGGATGGGTGTCTTTTCTCTTTAAAGACGAAACGGAGCTGGGGGGGGGGAGGAGAGAAGGGGAGCAATCATGTTAAAGACAACTTTCTAGATCCGATTCCGAAGAAAAAAAGAACACTTAATTTCGTTAATTTCACTGTGATTTCTCCTCTTCTTCAAATCTCCGTTGTCTTCTCTTGCTGTTTCTTTTGTTATTCGCTTCTTGGTTAACGGATTAAGATTAAAAACTGATTTCTGTTGCTATTGGCTGCCTGGGACTAAAAGCCTGTGTTGACGTTCTCATAATTTGCATATGACATTGTGACGTCACCAAGGCCAGCCCTTTCCAATCTCCCTCCTCCCGCTCCCCACCTACGCATGCTGAAGCTGTCCTCTTTTGACCTGGGTAGTTGGCCTGTCACGTTTTGGAGTGCTGGAGTTGGGCTCAGGCCTTTGATAATTTGATGGAAGGCCTGATGGGAGCAATGTCACCTTTTTATTTTGGTACTGATGGAAAAGGAGGTTTGGCAGTGGCATCAAGTAAAACACAAGTGAAAGGCTGAGGATTGACATCAAAATCAACTTATCTTCATTACGGATAGTTTTGCAGTGTAGTTCATATTTGATTTCATATTTTAGCAAGCATGATTTAATGATAGTGGCTGGCAAATCTTAGATGTGATACTAAAATGGGATTTGCAAATGTGGGATTTTCAGAAAGCTAATGGAAGGGGTGTGTAGGTGTGGAAATTTGGATATAATTATGGCTGTTTTAAAATGTGACATTGCGACAATATCAAAATGCAAATTATGCTTCTGCATGCCCTATGTGTGTCCTTCCAACTTAGCAGAAATAGAATTCTTTCAATAAAGTTGCCTATCCATGACAAGTCATGGTAAGTGGGTAATTTGAAATTTACACACACACACACACACACACACACACACACATTATAAAACTATAAACTAACCTGCTCTGAATAGGAAAATTACTTATGTTCTATTATTTGGCATACTTTCAATGGCACATAATAGAAATAGCTATGACTCTAAAATTCTATTCCACTGAACATCTTATTTCTCAGCCCTTTCAGTGTCTGAGATTTCCATGGGCATTCCCTAATCATACACTGCTACTATGTCTTTATCTTGATCAGGAATTTAAAAAGTTATTTTACATTTAAACAGCACTAGGCCTCAAACCATGATTCTTTCTCTGTGTGAGAGGAAGGCAGGGGAACAGGTGTATTTATTTTGAGATGCCATTGTTACACTAAATATTATTTAATCAGTAGGAATGCATTCCTGAACTGGAAGAACTTGTTTTCATCTCTGCATTGATTAAATAATCAAGCAGCATTTCCCAACTTGGTACATTCCAGATGTTTTTGATTTTGATATTCTGGCTGAGAATTATCGGAGTCAAATTCTAGCACATCTGGAAGATAACAGGTTGGGAAAGTCTGAAGAGTAATTTCTAAAATGCAGCCACATTCAAATAGTCCAGGTTTGCTGAAATGTCAACAGTTTCAACATATATACCAAGCATCATAAGCTCTATAGCAGGGGTGTCAAACTGCTGGCCCATGGCCTGATATGTCATGGCGAAACAGCACCAACCCCATTGCTGGCAATGGAAAAAAAGTCACGATACCTCGTGACACATCACAGAACGTTGCGAGTTTGACACCCCTGCTTTATAGTGTTCATCTGGTCTGGCTGCCATCTGTTTTTATAGCACATGATTACATATGATACCAAGATGTCTAAAAGATGAACTAATAATGCTATGTTAAATTAAACCACTTGTAAAATAAAATAAAAGTATAAACATTATTTCAAGCTTTTCTCTGCAGCTGTATGAACTAGGAAAGTACTCAGAAGTTCATCTATATCCATGAAATTACAAATAATGGATTTGGATACACCAAGTATCTCAAAGATGAAGTGCAATTGTAAAATGTAAATGTATAGTAGAATTTTTGTGATATTAGTCATGTTCTTCTAGCTGTCGAGCTCAGCTATCAGCTATGTTTGATAGCAGTCTCTTAAATCCCTCTTATTTTAAGAAAAATATTTATTTGCTATAGACAAGATTGTAAAGTCTATGTCTTGATATAAGAAATACAGTTGAGTAGAGACACCAAAGTGAGAGGTGAAGTTATTTTTTGCATAACTCTCCTATCTGAATAGAAGCTGGTGAACTCCACAAAGATCATAAACACAGTGTTTTTATACTGTGATGGTGACCTTATGAGATTCTTAGGTATGTTTTGTAATGTTTTCCTAGGCAACCATTAGTGGCCATTCTGCTGTGAGGTTTCTACTAAAAAATCTTCATTCTAAAAATATTTTTGTTTTAAAAACTCTGACTTGGTTGATTACAAAAACAAGACCTACCTGCTCCTTTTTGTATCATTCTTCTCCCCTCTTATGATCTTATCTAACAGGATAATTTTGGAAAGCTCAGGCTTCATAAAACAGAACTCAGAAAAAGAATTAAGCTGTTGCTTGAAATGTTCAAATCAATGTATTGAAGTGTTTCACTTAACAACTACAGTACAAAATGTCATAAAATGGGGCAAACCTCACTTAACATTTGTCTCACTTAGCAACAAAAATTTTGGGCTCAATTGTGATTGTAGTTTAATAACTACTTGTATGTCTAATGCATTTTCATAAAATTTAAAATAAGCCAAAAATGTTGCCTACTCAATAAATTTGTTTAAAATTAAAATGCTGAATGAGATCTTTTTCTTTGATGTAATTCATTTTTCCCTGTTTTTTCTCCCTCCCTCCCTCCCTCCTTGGTATCATGTAGTAACAACTTTGGAACACAGGAGGTTATCTTACCCTTTGTATCTCTTTGCCAAATATTCTTTCCTAGTTTTTTCCCCCAATTTTTCAAGGGCAAAAATATGGAAGTGCAATCAAAATGAAATAAGAAATTGATTTCCTGTCTAAATTATACACCAAACACCTTTCTGCAGCCTGAGAGCCTGCAAATATATTGGGATTCAATTAGGCTAGCTAGGAAATGTAAGAACTGCAGTCCCCACTTTTCTGAAGGAAATTGTGCTACATAGATTAGTTCTGCAATAGCCATTTCAGCTTTTGTCATTTTTTTGTTGCTTGTATAATAAGTACTGTAATAGATGTTTTCCTGAGTGAGATCAATTTTTGCATTCATATACTTTTAGTGAAATTGATGAAGTGAATGAGACTATATTTTGCATTTCCATTTTCTCACACACCAAGAAACTGCAGTATATATTGGTATTATATTTTAAACCTGGCCTGTTTATTGCCTCATACAATCAAGCAACATTAGAACATTTGTGTATAAATTAGTATCATCTTTCTGATAAACTTTAACATAGGATTTCAGGGTATATTGGTCATAAGCACCGACAGTCATTTGATTGTTCAGAATTATAGTTATCTGTTTTACATCTTTGCCCAAGCCAATGGATAACCTAATACGTTTAAAATTACCAGGGGTGAGGTAGGAAATTAAAGATTCTTACAGTAAAATAAAAATGAGAGAGGCAAATATATGAATATTGTAATTCCACAAAATTT